CAGCACAGAACCCAACAACAGTCTCCATGTCCGACACATGTCAAGTGGCCACAGAATCCACAGTGTATAAGTACATCAAATACACAAACAACTTTATTTAGACCACCGGTCTTATACAGATTCACCACAGGAAAGAAGCATAGATAGAGCTCCTATACTCCAGGCAGCACAGAACCCAACAACAGTCTCCAGGTCCGACACATGTCCAGAGGCTACACCATGCATAGCTTAACATATCACTGAACAAGCTAGTGTGGAATCAGCCACGTTCTAGTCTTCGCTTTCCTCATCCAAGAGAAGTCGGTGTTATTTAGTATCTCTGTCACGCTTTTTACCAATCCGATATTCTGTTTTGAAGAGGCTGATTTATCCCATAAGTGCGCCAGTCAAATAGAAGATAGCCTGCTGGAATCATTTTTAGTTGTAGTAATGCAATAATACAATTTTTTCAAACCCTAAAATAAATTATTTATACAACAACAACAAAAATCTTTTAAGACATTTTAGTCTTATACAGATACTCCAAGCAGCGAAGTATGGAAAATTATGGAGAAATCCAGGTTGAATTCATTTGGTTCATCATTGAAACTATTAGACTCGATTATCCTGTCAACTCTGCTGTATTCTGCTCCAATTTGGGCGAACGAGAAGAACAAATTCTTGGACCAAATTCAGAATAACTATCTCCGACGATTATTGAACTTACCGAGTAACACACCAGGCTACATACGGGGAGTCACTAGGAGTCACAGCAACCAAACTGATTCTAAAGTTCTGCTTAGGAATATTAAAATTGGAAAAATCCAGATTGCCCGCAATCTGTCTAGCCCAATTATGGGAAACGTCCACTCTAAGGAATACCTTTATAGGTTTTACAGAAAATTTAATGAATATCCTAAACTCAACTGGATTCATGTGGTTAAAGAACTGTTCAGACCCCAATATTCTACAGAAAGCAATACCTCAAATTATCAGAATCACTATAGAACAGTCTATTCAAACCGATCAATCAAGAATAACCAATTCGAAGCTGCACACACACTACAAATATTTACATAAAACATTCGCAGGAGAGAACTATCTACTAAGTGAACTCCCACTGCCGACTAAACGCCTCATTGCGCAATTGAGAACTATATTTGTTTTATATCGAGAAGACCACATAAAATATCTAAAGACGGAAGACTTGTATTGCCAACTATGCAAAAATTGAACCGAAAATGAATTAAACATTATATATTCAAATGCATGCCTCTTGACACGGAAAGAAAAATACTTTTCTTTAAGATAGGCCATACACACCTCACATTATATTTTTTATTATCCAACTTTATAGACAATAGTTCAGTAGCTTTGAATCTATATAACTTCCATAAAATTGCTGTAAAAAAGAAAGACTTAACCGAACATCCAAACATGCCAAAAATTTCTGTTTGATGAGGAGGACAGAGCCAATATCCTATTATTTGTTTGGGCAGGTACGATAAGCCAACCCCCCACACCGATAAAACGGTGTTTACCTTACAACTCTGAACACTCGGATTTTCCTGGAAAATCTCTTAAAGATTTCTTGAAAAAAGCCATGGTCCACCTGTGCTGTGTGAGCAGAAATTGACTTGTTCCATTATATGTATTATGTTCCATATGTAAATACCTGTTTTTTTTTCCTCTTTTCGCTCTCCACTTCTTCCATCCATATTTCAAAAAAAATTTTTTTTTCCAAATCCATATTCTTATTTTCCATAGGATTATTCAAATAATAATCTTTATAATAATGCTCTTCCGCAAATAATAAGGACAAGTTAGGCCCAAATTGATACAAAGCAATAATGTGCCATCTTTAATAAGGAATGAGGACATTAAGACCTGAATGTTTCTTTTCACAAATAAATCAAACTTCTACTGTCCTTACTGTATGTGCAAAGTTAATAAATTCTGTACTTTATTCTCACTATAAGCATTTCCATACATCAACTACTACGGAATCTTACCTCAACGATGTTATCCTAATGACTATAAAGCAATTGCATTGCCTAAGTGAGAATTTTTTTTCACTATTTGAACATAATAACGTTTTATTATTGAAATCTAAGAAACACAAGGTAATAAGACCAAATACAAATAAATAAATAGTGTGTGACGTTTCGGTAACAACGTTGTTACCATCTTCAGACAAAAGTCTTATTACCTTTTAGATTCAGTACTTTTGTCTGAAGATGGTAAAAACACTGTTACCGAAACGTCACACACTATTTATTTATTTGTATTTGGTCTTATTACCTTTTAGATTCAGTACTTTTGTCTCTGAAGATGGTAACAAACCTGTTGCCAAAACGTCACACACTATTTATTTATTTGGATTTGGTCTTATTATCTTGTGTTTATAATCTACTAGCGGATGTACCCGGCTTCGCCCGAGGTTTTACCCGAGTAAAGGTTTGTCTAACGAACATTTGTTAAAACAATTCTCTATAAACTTATAAAACAAAAGATATATTTTGATAATTTGAAACTCGTAAATTTGAATCTCTCGATAAAGTGAACATTTTTCCCGGTCCCTGTGTGCCGTGTCATCCTGAATTTTGTCTTTCCTAATTTTCTACATTACAAAATCATCGTTTTATCTAGTGAACATATTTTCCCGGTCCCTTGGAAAATACTCGATAAGTTGAATAAAATCATGGTCGTGAATCTCTCGATAAAGTGATCATTTTTTTCCCGGTCCCTGTGTGCCGTGTCATCCTGAATTTTGTCTTTCCTAATTTTCTACATTACAAAATCATCGTTTTATCTAGTGAACATATTTTCCCGGTCCCTTGAAAAATACCCGATAAGTTGAATAAAATCATGGTCGTTTATGGAAGATGGACGTAGTTCCCGGAGGTCACCCGCGAGGCTTTTTTCTTGTCTACTTTTCACAGCTGTGTCACCAACTCTGGCCTCGCGCGCCAGGACCTCTTGATCCCTCTGATTGGTCGGTGGGAACTTTGGCCGGCGGCCGGACTACATTTTCTCGGTGGGGGGGCAGACCTAAGCCTATCTCCGTCGCAAGGTGGCGCTGCTTGCGAGTTAAAGCTACAAATCTGCAAATAACTCTAAGGATATTTAAGATATTCAAGAAATTATTTTTCGTAAACCTTTCCGGGGATACACCTAATAATATCCCAAAATTTCACGGCGATTGGATGTATGGTTTTTGAATCCATAGAGGACACACACACACACAGACAGACATTCAATTTTATATATATAGACTAGCCGAATGACCCGGGCAACGCCCGGGGTTTACCCGATTAAATGCTTTTATTCAAATACTATTCGTTACAATTATAAATTGGCGCCGTGGATGTCATTCTTGTATAATATATAAATGAGTTTTAAAAATTGTAAAAAAAAAAAAAAAATGCATCGGCCGGGAATCGAACCCGGGGCGCCCGCCACTATAATATATAAATGAGTTTTAAAAATTGTAAAAATAAAAAAATGCATCGGCCGGGAATCGAACCCGGGGCGCCCGCGTGGCAGGCGAGCATTCTAGCACTGAACCAAAAGCAAAGGGTGACAGAATTAAGAACGCATAACGCTGATAACTGTATATATTAATAATCCAAATTGTGCCTTATCATGAAATCTAAGAACTTAAAGTGCGCTCTGTGTAAAAGTGAATTTAACCAGGCTTTCCACACGACATGTTTTATTGTCCGGCTTTGTAGGATGAGACAGTAATTCTCCGCCAAAAGATTGCTTAGAAAAACAATTCGTCATATGAAAAAATAGTACAAATGTGATAATGTACTGGGATAAGGTGCATAAATTATGAAAAAAGGCATCTCCTTATCGTGCAACTGAAAGTTGCTGATTGTCTGCTGATGGTGCAAAAATCAACGAGAATATTTGATATTTATTCCGATTGATGGCGCAAGCCATCAAAAACTTTGAGTTTAACGATAAAGAGATGCCTTTTTCATAATTCGTCATATGTTTTATTAGCAAAAGTAGTGAAAATCAAAATTTCAATAAAGGCCAATACATCAAGTTTAATAGATTCTCCAGGCTGTATGTTTTAAGGCGAAAGTGTTGACTGTACATATTTCAAGCTACTATTTCTAATTACTATATGCAAAACGTTCAATTGTGTTAATTGTATATAATTTCAGATATACACGCAATTATCCTAATTGTGGATATGGCGTGTCTCTCCCAACTGTTAAATAAATAAATACATAAAACCAATGCATTGACTTGTAACAAATTCTAGAGAACAGCACAGTCAAAAGACGTAACACAGAAGATGAACACAACTTCATTTTATATAACATATATATATTGTAGCGTAAATATTATTTTATTTGTGACATCACAGCACGACATCTACAATTAAAACTAACAAAATATTTACAGCTAGAGAAGATTGAACAACAAAGCGCTATATGACATGGTGATTTCATAAATACAAATTTTTATTCTGTTTTGTGTTTTCTTATATTAATTGATTAAATAAGTTATAAATTTATTCCTTTGCCCCATATTTAGAATAAATAAGATTATATAATGATAAATATATATATATATATATATATATATAAAATATATACAAGGTCTTCATTGGTGACGCCCACCACAGAAAGACTCCACCACCGATGGACTGCGAGAGTTCACAGAGTGGGCAGGTCGATGTTATGGCTGGTGTTACCCACCTCAAGACCAAGATGGTACTTGTAGATGGTAGGCTTACTTGTGATCTTTATTGCCTCGGGAGAGAGAAAGAGAGAGATTGAACCTGATTTATTAAACGTTCATATGGGGTTATATAAGTTTAAATATAGAATAAATATAAAAATAAGATTAAATAAAGATAAATATATGAATAAATAAATATATAGAATAATTGATAAATATACATATATATATAAAAATATATACAAGGTCTTTATTGGTGACGTCCACAACAGGAAAGACTCCGCCACCGATGGACTGCGAGAGTTCTTTACCACAGAGTGGGCAGGGTAGCCTAGTGGACATGGCATCTGCCCGGTAAGCGGAACATTGTGGGTTCGATTCCCATCCCTGGTCACTTTTATTTTTCCGTTCATCATTACTTTTCATAATTCACCCTTTCATACCTCATCCAAAAAGGTTAGAAATGGTCAATATTTCACCTTGAAATAAATTTTGATTTTTCATTGAAAAAAAACTCATGCGGTGTAACTTCAAGTGTTGTTTTACTTGTCATCTTTATTGCCCCGGGAGAGAGAGAGATTGATTTATTACAATATAAGATTATATAAGGTTAAATACAGAATGGAGAGCGAGAAAAAGGCTTCAATTTAAATAATTTTTAAAATGTTATTCTAAGAAGGTTATGAAAATTTATTACAATTTTCCTTCCTATTGCCAAAGTTTAATTGCTCTAACTTTATGGCAGTTTATCCCCTAAAATTTCATCACATTTTTCCTTGTACATTTAAGGAAACTTTTATATGGTCGATCTTCCATTTAAGACCGGACCAGAATTTCTCAGTTTTATATCCGATTAGATCATAAATACATGATATTTTACACATTATCTTGTTATTAAATTATCAAAAAGTGTGCCTTATGTATAGTTCAAATTTAAATTAATTTTGACAAAAAACGATGCAATTTTGAAACAAATATCTTTAGAAAAAAATAATACAAAAGTGAAATTTTACTGGGATAAAGTGGATAAATTAAGAAAAAGGCATCTCTTGATCATGCAACTAAAAGTTGCTGATGGCTTGCGCCATCTATCAGTATAAAGGAGAGGTACCTAATAAAATTATTTTTGAACAAAAAAAAGGAAGAAAAAAAACTTTGATATTCGTCAGCATAAAAATTTAGACATGGATTCTCTTTGATCTCAAATCCAGCAAGTATTAGAAGGATTTTAAATTTCTGATTTCGGTATACAGACCCTCACATGTGCATGTGAACCTATAAGCTTATGTCCATAGTTTTCTTGAAAACCATTTCTGAGATTCCATCCTTCAGTGCTGCGTATATAAGCAAATTCGTCCAATACAGTATTAGAACTCTAAGAAGCGTTCTGGTAGATTAAATTGGCGAAACCGCTGGGAGGGTTCACCACTGATGAGCCAAGAGCCCTCCCAATATATTTTTTCCATCGCAGTAAGGGCAGTAAAAGTTTGTATTATGTATAAAAGAAACATTCGTGCTTTTAAATCCTTTCATTTTATATGTAAACATTTGTTTTAACAACAGTTTATATTTCCCTAATTGACATTGTAAAGCCAGTAGAAGAGCTTCGTTACTCGTAATCTCGCTTTTTCAAATAAAAAAGATGCATTTTGTTTTCTGCTTATCTCTAGTACACGTGGTAAAGGCCATGATAATCATGGTGGGTAGAAGTAGGAGAGTGCTTTTACTGTAAGTGGACCACAGGTCTATACATGTGAAAAGCAGTTCGACTTTGAACTTACAAATGTGCCAGAGCCCCGTTTGGTTACTTGCACTCGCTGGTGGGGTTGGAGTTTTGTAAGAATTGGGGGCCATTGGAGCATTTTTTTTTAATCAGAAAAAAGTGTCCAATGCGGGAATCGAACCCGGAACGTAACGGTCAAAAACCAACGGTTTAGACCATTCTTCCATCCCCCCGATGCAAAAAAATTGTTAAAATTTCTAAATTAATTTTTGAATAACTTTAACCATTGTACTCAATCGATCCAGTAGGTATTGATTCGAAAATAGACTTAAATACAGTTAGTCAGTGAAAATTGGGGGAAAAAAAAAAGGATTTGACCAATCCGCAACAGACGAATGGCAACAACACGTGTGGCTGATGTTACATTCAGGTGGTTTGCCATCTGTGTGGAAGCTTCCCATTGGCCAATCAATCCCTCTTGTTCTGGAGACATTGTATTTAGCCCTAGCTATGGCGCCATCTGGAAATAACGGACAATTTCGCCCTATCAGAATGTACAATCACTTATACGAAAATCCTTCAAATCTTTTATAAAATTGAAATTGTACTGGAATAAAGTTGATTAATTAATAAAAAGACATCTCCTGATTATGCAACTCAACGTTACTGATGACTTACGCCATCTTTTATTCTGTTGGATCGTTTTTGAAGACAACTCTCAGATTTATAAAATTATTTTATTAAAAACATTAAACATTTTTAGATATATATAGAAACGAGTAAATTATCTCGTATTTAAGGCAACAAAAGATTCATCTAATTTTTATACATTTTCTATCCAGATTAAGCTTGTAAAAACAGACGACAAAGGAAGGAATAAACAAATTATTAATAGAGGGTAAGTTTCTATTTTTTGCAAGCTTTCACACTCAAAGAATATTCGTATTCTTGCTTCATATTCCAACAGATGGTGCAAACCATCAGCAACTTAGTTGAACAATCAGGAGATGTCTTAATTTATCCATCTGATCCAAGTACAAATTCACTTTTGTACTATTTTCACATTGATTGACTTTTTCACGCCCTTATGGCCTAAATACCTATTTTATGATTTTTATGATGCCCCGAAGACCAGCTTTTTTGGTCGTTTAGGTACAGCTTGCACCACGCTTTCACCATTTATTAATATTGTTGCTAGTGTCTATCCAGTCGAATTAGACTATTGGTGACTCTATATGGACAAATATTCTCCAATAGATTAAATATTTGCCATATAGAGAATTTTCTTAATAGTTCTTGATACAGAAGGGGTTATATAATATACATTCATGAACAAAACTTAAGAAAGTTTTACCTTTTAGCATGTATATCGGGATTACGACAATAACTCTGAAAGATACACTCATGGACAAAACTTAAGTAAGTTGTACCTTTTAGCATGTATATCGGGATTACGACAATAACTCTGAAAGATACACTCATGGACAAAACTTAAGGAAGTTGTACCTTTCAGCATGTATATCGGGATTCAGACAATAACTCTGAAAGATACACTCATGGACAAAACTTAAGGAAGTTGTACCTTTCAACATGTATATCGGGATTCAGACAATAACTCTGAAAGATACACTCATGGACAAAACTTAAGGAAGTTTTACCTTTCAGCATGTATATCGGGATTCAGACAATAATTCTGAAAGATACACTCATCGACAAAACTTAAGGAAGTTTTACCTTTCAGCATGTATATCGGGATTCAGACAATAATTCTGAAAGATACACTCATGGACAAAACTTAAGGAAGTTTTACCTTTCATGCATGTATATCGGGATTCAGACAATAACTCTGAAAAATACACTCATGGACAAAACTTAAGGAAGTTTTACCTTTCAGCATGTATATATCGGGATCAAGACAATAATTCTGAAAGATACACTCATGGACAAAACTTAAGGAAGTTGTACCTTTCAGCATGTATATCGGAATTCAGACAATAACTCTGAAAGATACACTCATGGACAAAACTTAAGAAAGTTGTACCTTTTAGCATGTATATCGGGATTCAGACAATAACTCTGAAAGATACACTCATGGACAAAACTTAAGGAAGTTGTACCTTTTAGCATGTATATCGGGATTCAGACAATAACTCTGAAAGATACACTCATGGACAAAACTTAAGGAAGTTGTAGCTTTCAGCATGTATATTGGGATTCAGACAATAACTCTGAAAGATACACTCATGGCAAAACTTAAGGAAGTTGTATCTTTCAGCATGTATATCGGGATTGAGACAATAACTCTGAAAGATACACTCATGGACAAAACTTAAGGAAGTTGTATCTTTTAGCCTGTATATCGGAATTCAGACAATAACTCTGAAAGATACACTATTGGACAAAACTTAAGGAAGTTGTACCTTTTAGCATGTATATCGGGATTCATACAATAACTCTGAAAGATACACTCATGGACAAAACTTAAGGAAGTCGTACCTTTTAACATGTATATCGGGATATTGAGACAATAACTCTGAAAGATATTACAGTGACCTTTATTGAATACATACGAGATAACCATGTATGAACAAAATTTCCTGTCTCCTTTAAAAAAAAAGGCGAACAGTGACAATAAGAATTTTCCACTTTCTTAAATTTTGTCCATGATTCATATTGAAAACTGTATTACTATAGACATTGTTGCAATGGGGGAAAATGTTATAAACAATAAATACATTAAAAACAATGAAGGCATATCCTGACAAGGATCACATGTGCTTTTTAGATGGCAGAGCGCCATCTAGTGGAACAGAAATCAACTAAACATTGATATAACCTGTTCCCTGATATTTGACCAACCCAATTTCTTGATAAATCAAGAAAAGCCATCCACGAACACGTTTCGCACTGTTGGCGCTCGTATATATAATAAATATAATATTGTATTTATAAATGCATATTCATTTTTCGCATATGCTAATAAGCATGTTTATATTCTCTGTTCTTTTATCGACAGACATTTCTGGAAAATCTAGCAAGGAACAAATTGTCGCCGCTCCTCATAAATTGTTCTTCTACTTGCTCTGTATATATAGTCATGGGGACAAAACTTAAAGAGGTTGAAAGTTTTTGATGTCTGCCAGTCGACTATTTTTTTAATTTATTTTTTTTTTTGAAGGAGACAGAAGCAATTTTGTTCACACTTGGTTATCTCGTACGTCTTCAATAAAGGTTACTGTAATATCTTTCAGAGTATTGTTTGAACCCCCCAATATACATACTAAGTTGTTTACTAAATCCATGAGTGTATATCACATGTTCACACATGTGAAAAGCAGTTTGACATTGGTACTTACAAATTTTCCAAATCTCCATTTGATTACTTGAATTTACTTGTGAGGTTGAACTTTCACAACAATCAGAGGGCCCCATTAAAGCATTTTATTCTTCATAAAAATGTACCTAACGCGGGATTCGATCCCCCAAATCGTGACTATCCAAAAAAATCGACAATTTTAACATTCTTCCAAAAAACCTCGGTAAAAAACAATCCTAAATTCATAAAATATGATTGAAAACAACAACAAAAATGATTTAAAAAATAATAATAACAGCTTCATTAGGATAAAAAACTGCAAGGATTGGGCCATATAGTCTTTCTTATCTCCACT